ACGACAATTGACCGCAAACTAACCTACCTGCGGTGGTCGTGGGTCTTGTGGGAGTGGTTAAAACTGATGTGGCGTCACACTTACGAACCGGATACTCCATGTACTGTGTGGACTCCGCGGGTGCGCGCGAGGAAGTTCAACACAGAGAGCCTCAGTTTCGATGTGGGGGAGCGGGTTAGCGTGGCGGTTCTTTCCTCGCTTTGCACCAATGAGGCCTGGGTTCGAGTCCCGGCTTCGCCCAGGCTTTAAGTGCATTTGGTTTCCAGTCCATACTCACTCTCGCAGGTTTTCTCCAGGTACTCCGGTTTCCTCCTGCCTCTAAAATTGGACCTTCTTCCTAACTCCGTAATGTGATGCTGATTAATAAAGTGTATGAATAAACGTCCAGTTATTGGTGCAAATAGCCTGAGTTGCTGAATGCGCCATTAAAACAAAACAACAACAGTTTTGATGCAGATGTGCGCAGACGGCGCTAATGTGAAATCCCTCAATACACTGTTCTTTATACACCTGGGGACTTCATCGTAACCGTTAACACATTTCTGTTCATCATGACTTCCTTATCTTGGATTTAGTTGGTGTGCTAAATATTACACTTGGAATGTATTACCATATATGGCTAAAACATTTGTCCTTACTATTTCTGTAAAACTTACTCTACTTTTCAGTACCTGAGACAAGGTATTGGATTGATGGCCTTTATAGATAATATCCTCATATGTAGTTCAGAGGATAGAATTGTGACTGATTTACATGGACTCTTTCAACTATGCATTCCCTTGGGTGGAAGATTAACTAAGAAAAATCATCCTTGACACCTGAAAAGGAACAGGAATACTTGGGTTATGTTATTGACAGTACTGGCATAAATGGAATGCCAACACTGAGGGTTCCTCAACGTAAAATAAGAAAGTGATCAAAGATATCACCAGAGCTCTAAAGAAAGACACGTATTCCTTGCACGTTTGACCGGTCAGTGTATTTCTTTGTGTAAGGCAGTATTCCCTGGTAAACTGAAGCCCAGGGTTGTATACAGACTATTGCAGTCTCGCTTATTGTGGGAGGATCGTTTAGTGTGGTCTTTGGATGCAGTAACTCACTTGTCGTGGTGGATAACAGCACTTGAATCATGGAACGGTTCCACGATCTTGCTAAACAAAACAGAGGGCCAATTAACGACAGACACCAGCCACATTGGCTACGGAGCTATGCTGGGCGACTTCAAGGTACACGGCGTCTGGACAAAACGGGTAGCATTCGAGAGCTCAAACTACCGCAAAATGATGTTCATTTTAATGTTGATGGTTCGGTTTCTTTAACTTTAGATGGAATCAAGAATGATTCAATCAGATCAGGCTTTGAAATCACTGTACATTTGCCTCGTGTTGATGATAAAGCCATTGACCCTGTGACTGCTCTCAAGACTTACATTGATAGAACTGATTTCATTCGTCCTATGCAGATTAACCCATTATTTCTCACTCTAGTTAAACCTTACAAAATCATTTCAGCCACTACGGTAGTCTTGGCCCAAGACGTCAGTGATCGATAGTTGTTTTGTTTCTGTTGAAAAGCGCCTTTGCACAACTAGTTTTTACTTACTCTACTGCGAGCTGGCGCACAGTGTAATTATGAGTCGTTGGGGGCGCACTATGCACTGTGTCCGCTATCAAGCGCTAACGTCCTGAAACCAAGACTACCACCACGGTTACTCAGATATTAGGGGAAGCCATAGTCTCCCATGAAGCGTTTATTCTGCCAAGTCCTTCCGTCCCACAGGTGCTACCAATGCTATGCGTACACATAGACCTAGCTGATACGGTAATGAAAGTGTGTCGTTGAAAAACCCAGTCTGTTTTCTTTGATCATTTATGTTTACAGCAAGACCCCCCAGAGTTTTTCTGCAGATATTCCGAAGTAGGTGGATTCTAATACATCTCACTAATTTAGCACCGTATTAAATAATATTCAGTTTGTAACAACATTATTTTGTGTCTTGTGTTGTATCTGACGTAGGTTTCTATAAAGTAGCATTCCCAACACGTACTGTTGTATGCAGTACTACCTGATCTTCCAACGTATGCTAAAAATATCATGACTACTTATGACAATTGCACAGGAAAAAAAATTTAGTTTCAATAAAAATTATATGAATATCAAAATTCAAATTACAAACAGGCATTAATGTTCTATATTGTATAATTAATATTATTATTAAAATATGGCAATCAAATGGGCCTGGCATAATGAGTAATTCACATTAAAATTAATCAAAAGCTGCAAGGTAAGAAATAATAAAAGCTAAAAATAAAAAAATATAAAATATTGAATAAATAAGAGAATAAGCAAGCATAATGAATAAATGAATAAACAAAAGGTAAAATTCAACGGTGTTTACTAGTATAAATAAATGTTTGAGTATTAGGACACCTATATTTTTATGTTTCAAAGATGCTGCCTTCCTATAACATTTTCATTGAATGTTTATTGCAATACATAGTGTCCACGGCTGTTTTATGTGAGGTGCCCCACTTGCACATGAAACAGCCGCTGGGCACATGTATCGGCGTCACTTCCTGGGGTACATTGAAGGGTTGTGCGGTGGTCTTTGTTCTCAAGTTCTAAGGTTATCACAAGACTTCAATGAGTGATCATTGACTACCACACCACACTCTACCAGTAATCATTTGTCTTCATTTGTACAGGTACATGTCTTTTGTATTCCTTTTCATTTTTGGCAGCTTGTCAATGACAGGTCAAGGAAGTGAAGACAGGAAGCAGGTTTTGTTTATAAGAGCATTTCTTAAAAGTGATGCCAGAATGTCTAAATTCCTGAATCCTTTGTCCTCAAGAAGGCATATTGTCAGAGTGTTTCAGGGCATAACAGCAAGTAGATTTACATGTACCTCCCCCCAAAACTACTGAATTTTGCCACTGTAGATATCCCCTAATTTGTTGGTAATCATGTGTAACATGTACCTGTATTGCTTGTGTGCTTGACTTTGAACATTAATTTTTACGCTCTACCGGTACATGTACTGCGTTCTCTTAAATCATTATTTAACTTTACTCTGAAATCTGTAGATGGGTGCATTGCTCATGCACCCAGGTTAGCCTGGATTGCCCCTAAATACCAACTTGTTTCTGTCCTAAATTGCGCATCCACAAATCATCATCATTCCGCACATGACCATCAAGAGTCGTAGTGGCCTCCAGACATTCCTGTCAAGAGCAAGGGACCGGCACTCATTTGGAGACAGCTGCACAGCGTCGTCCACCTGCTTAGGCCAAGTGAGACGGGGGCGGCCGCGGGTCTTCCTCGAGATGGTAGTTCGCTGACCAAGATGGAATTGAATAGCTGCGTCGAGGTCAAGACAAGCAGGAGCCGGGTTTGGAGGCGCCGGACATGACCAAACAAAGTGTGTCGCCTCCCTGCAACGTCCGAAACGATGTTACCAAGCCCCTTGCGTTGAGATATGGTGGCATTTGAAATGAAGTCCGACTACTGGACGCCAAGTATGCGACGCTGGCACTGCATATGGAAGGCCTGGAGACGCTTTTGATCTCTTTTCCTCGGTGTCCAGGTTTCAGACCCATAGAGGAGTGCAGAAAGCACACAAGCTCGATAAAACCTTAGCTTGACGGGAAGGCTGGCCAAAGACCATCTAATTAGCCCATGATGTTGCGTGCTGGCGATGCCAATACTGCGTAGGACCTCGGTACTGCATAGACCTGACGTGGTGATAGTGCCTCCGAGGTAGCAGAAGGACGCAACAGGATCTATGACATCGGGGCCAAGGGAAACCGGGGCAGGCGAAGGTCCACCTAGGGATTGAACCTTGGTCTTAGCTCAAGAGTGTTTAAGGCTCATGTAACTAGCTTCCCGTTCAAAGGTTACAAGATGTTCCCCCATCTGGCTGGGTCGTCAATAAACAGCGCATCATGAGCGTTTAGGAGGTCAGTAAACCTATGGTCGCCTACATCGATCCCCATTGATGCCTCACACTGTGACAGAATGGAGTCCATGGCGGCAAAGAATAGAGTGGGGGCTAACACACAACCCTGCCGGACTCCTAAGGAGGTTGAAAACGAGGGGCATAAGTCATTGCCTATCCTGACCTTGGCTTTGATGTTAGAGTGCTTTGATCAGATTCAGAATGGTATTTGAAATGCCCTTTGAGGAGAGAATATCCCAAAGCTGGTTTCGGTCAACCGAATCGACAGCAGCCTTGATGTCTACGTAGGCGACATTAAGCGGGTGTTGTACTCGTGATGGAGTTCAGCGAGTAGACGTGACACAAGAATTGCGTCAGACGTTGAGCGGCGGGGAGTAAGACCTGACTGCTGTGGTCTCTGCAGGGAAACAAGTAGAGGATGAATTCTGCCTAGCAGAATAAGCGCAAACGCCTTGCTAGGAATCGAAAGCAAGGTGATGGGGCGGTAACTACTGCAGGCCGTTCTTGAACCTTTCCCTTTATAGATAGGTAGAATTACACCATCCTTCCGGTCTGCCGGAGCCATGCCTGTGGACCACACGTTGCAAAAGATCTTGTGAAGAGCTCTGCTTCTGGGCACCTCAACAGATTTCAAGTACTCGGAGAAGATGCCATCATCTCCTGCTAAACGGCCCGATTTCAACTTTCGGAAAGCAGTCCACGCTTCACTCAACGATGGAGGGTCGCAGTCCGGGTCAGAGACTACAGCTTCAGGAGATGTGGTTGAAAGTCGTCTGGGGGAAGCAGCTGGGAAGTTTAGCGACTGGCAGAAGTGGTCTTTCCAGCAGGACAGCACCGAGGAAGGAGCTGAATGCGTAATGAACTAAAACAATGTTATCTTTTGCCCGAAACCGAAAACAGGCTCCATATTTTGGGCTTTTTGTCCTTGCGCCATGGAGACTTAGTGCTGGTTCTGGGTGACCATATACATGTAGAAACGTTCGCGTGCATGTCGCAAACGTGGTTCTAATGTTTGTCACAAAGACAACATCGTACCAAGGGCTCTAGTTAAACAGTCCTTGCAGGTTGCACTTCAGCAAATACGCGCTCATAGAAAACATTGCAAAATCAGACCAACATAGCGCCGGCTGTTGACTCTCCGGAAGAGGTTAGCCTCCTGTTTTCACTGGATATGTAAGCTTTTGGCCAGAGGATCACTTTTCGTTTTAATTTTATGGAAGTTAACCACGAATTTTTTATTCTCCTTTCCCCGAGGATACCCCAAAATAGTAGTAAAACTATGCGCTCAGCTCTAAATGTAGCCGCCCAACTCTATTTAAAATAGGCCCGCAGTTTTTGGCTTTTTGCGAAAGATATACCCCGAAATGGAAACTACCTATCCCAAATTCGGGATTTATAGAAGTATTTGTTTTATCCTTCCTGATTATGGCTTGTAAAATTCCCTTGGGATCACAAAATATAAATGAGCTTGTGCTCAGAACTACAACGATTTGGTGGAATGCACCCTGCAGTCTCGTGGCACGCCTTTGTCCAACTCTGGGATCGATTGCGAATATGCTTGGAGGGCGCATTCAAATGGATTCATCGCCAGCACTGTTGTTACACTCCCAGCTAGTGTCTGGACTTGGCACCTCAAGAGGTAATGAAAAGAAAAGTGTAGTATCTCCTGTCAGTCGGTGCCACTGACAGGACAAACCCCGTACTCCCACTGACTTCGTTGACTTGTATCTCTCTAATATAAACGGGAGACTTTGAGATGCTTGGCGGCGGCAATCAAACCAATCCTTTTTATCAGTTCTGAGCATGCGCGCATTGTTCTGAGCAAGCCTGCATATATATTTCTCCTGCATAGTTCTCAGCACGCGCAATACTGTGAAGAAGGACCGGTATGTCTGCCACCACCAGCGTTGTAAAGTCTCCCATTGCCTGATATATATGTGTTGACAGTAAAACAAAATTATCTTGTACTTGTCACAGTTACAAGCACTGGAAGAATTTAATTCCTGACTTTATTTCTCGTCTGCCAGTTAGCAATGATGCACTGCATCGAGCAGGCCGAGGGTAAAGGAGGCGAAAATCTAATTTCGGATGGTTTCAAGGTCGCCATGGATCTAAAAGAAGCAGACCCAGAAGCCTTTCGTCTCCTGACGACCTACCAGTTTGAATATTCGGCTAAAGGGGCGGACTATCTTGGACGTTTGTACCTCCATAGCAGGCACCCTGTTATCAGGTAACGTGAACATAGGCAGGCATGAAGAAGGATATCGACTGCGTTCAAGAGACCATTGCTGAGAACTCATTCAATATGTACATCATCGTCTGAGCAAGATTATAAGGGGTCCCTTAATATTTCTCTGATGTTGCACTTTTATTACGATGAACGCGCATTACACATGAACCTCCTCCTTAGTTGTATTCAGCATATAATGCATGACAGCCTTCAGTGACATTATATCACATGAGTGCGAGTGGAATATGGAGTAATGTAGTGCGAATGTGTCCCATATACCACGAGACCGAAGGTAAACTATGAGCGTTTTCGAAACGAGTGGATTCGGCTTGAAGGGTTGCTGCAATCAGCGTTGTTTATTACAAACCTGTAAAATGCACTTTGTGCCTCAATAAACCTTATTTTCAACTTTGGTTTCACTATTTCCAAGGTTATTTCCATGCCTCTTTGGTTTTTATGCTGATGAGCCGCTCACCAAAACCCCAGTGTAGTTTTGCATTGCGGTCAGAAACAAGAGTGGCTCGTCATGCGCAGTAAACCCCAGTAGAGATATATTTTATGTATAGCTAGCTCTCTGAATAAACCCAACTTATCTTTTTGACTGTGTCAATGCATCTGACTCTTAATGGTCAACAACAAACTTCTTTCACTGTGTAGACCTATTCCTGTGATGTCACAGTCGTGCTGGACCTCTATGTGTTGTGATTAATGAGTGTTAATTAAGTGTTGTGATGGTGATCTACTTATTCAAGATTAAATATCCAAGCATGCAGCGTTTACACGTGCACTTGTTACAAGGTTGGAGATACCCATAGGAATTTATGCGACCACTGTGGCCACGGTGGTATTGTTAAAGGGTAGCGGCAATCAATTTTTGTGATCACTAACCTCTAAAATACACCTTTGTGCCTCAGTTAACCTTATTTTCAACTTTTGTTTCATTTTTTCACAGGGTATTTTAACGCCTTTTTGGTTTTTGTGCTGTTGAATTTCCAAATTCATAAGCAAAACTGTGATGTCATCTCAGGAAGAAGCCTCAATGTTGCATTGGTTTGTACACAAAAAATTCCTGAACTTTTGTAGATTTTCCTGGACTCGGTTTTGTCTTCTTTGCTGATTCGCTTTTGTTCAATTCTGGGTTCACAATTTGAACCCAAACATCTATACACTGAGCCATGTCTTCCCTAGATGATGTCACAGCAACAGCGCCCCCAGTTGCATGGATAATTTTAATTGTTTAAAAAACATGCACTTTTCAGAGCATTTAACTAAACGGGAGTGTAGTTTTCATACAACGAAGAAGAGTACAAAGATGCAGGAAAACTGTGTAAAAAATTCATTGCAGCTATACTTTAACATTTAGTACAATCCAGTCCCGTGAGTGAAAAAGGTACGTAGAAAAAAATACTCGAAACCTTTCTCCCGACATAAAGTGACCAATTACTTTTGAGGAGACTTAATAGGATTAAGCAGATTAAACACAAAGCTGTCTAGAGGCAAACTATTGAGCAGGGTTGTAGGACTCAGGTCATCCCCGTCTCCAGCTTCGGGAAGTTGGGCTGGGGTCATGCATGGTACCAGCAAGAGGGCACATTTGTGGGCTTGGACTCAAGTCAAAAGACTCGAAGACTCGGCCTTTCGCGGAATCCTAGGAATCTCATGGGCACGAACTGAGTCTCAAACCCTGCAAGTCTTGAGTCCGCAGGAGTCTTGTTTACTTTGTCTGAAAGTAGGAAAAGAAAAGAAATTACAATGGAGGGGGGGGGTCAAGCACCCATTGCCAACCCCCCCATGCACCACCGGAAAAACCACTACTATAAACACTTAGAAATTCCAGTCCCGTTGTCGTTCATTACTTGTATTTACTGGGACTCAGTGTGTATATGCCCACACATTATTCGTTTCATTTTTTACGGTATATGTATGTGAGAATGATTGGTTAATTGAAGGACTCGGATTTCTGGACTTGGACTTGCATTTAGATCTTTTTGACTTGGACTTGGATTCGAACCAGTATTACTCTGACTCGGTAATGGAGGTGGTGGACTCGACTACAACTGTGGTCAAGTTTGGCGAACTTTAGTTCGGCCCTATAGTTCACCTTTTTGTAAACTTTATTCCTTACATGTATTTTGCTGTTGGATGAATCTGTCATGGTGTTCATTGCCACTGACATCCTGCACAGCTCTGTAACCGTCGACGCTCCATACTGTATCCCTTTTAAGTGACTTTGGGCATGCCATACTGCGGTTGTAAAGTTCACGATGCAATGTATAACATTTTAGCGGGCCGCCGTCCATGTGATTGCTAGCATCAGCATACAGACTTTCTGTCCACCTCGCTCTGATCTATTCTCAGAAGGTGATATCTGTATTAACGAATAAGTACATTCTAGATCTGCAGTTTTTGACCATCCATTTTATACTGAAGTAAAGAAGAAATTTTGGGGTCTGTCTTCTATAAACGGCACAGTGTTCTTACGGCATTCGAAGTGGGAACTTCTGCTTTGAACCAGAGGTCAGAAGTAAATAAAACTTGAAAGACATGCCAGTACAAGAACGTGTTGAATGTAATTCCATCGATTGTCGGAGACAGGCACAGTAAGAACACTACACTACTAAGGCAGTACGCTTGTCTGCTAATGTAACTTGGAAGCTAAGAGACCCTGGCCTGGTTTGGGAGGTGACCGCAGTCAACTTTCGGCAATGCAAACGTCACTCGGCTGCAGTGCAGTTGAACCCCCGCGCTCAGAATGCTGTACCCAAGGGAACCCATGTTGGCCTGATTCAAGTTGGAACCCAAGTCACCTCAGCACCAGGAAGCAAGCGTCACTCGCAGTGGGTACATCATCGACCTCCAGGCCGGAGTCAACACCAGCAGGGACTTGACTGCTCGTATCCTACTGTCAAATAAACTGGAACAGCGAACTGTATGAGTTGACGTGATCACATTGTAAATATTGTAATTTATTGTAATTGTAATATTGTAATTTATTGTAAATACAGTTTCGAGTGAATTTAGTTTAAAGTTTCACTCATTGTACACTACTTGTGCATTAGTAATACATGTACACTCACTCTCGCAGTTCCTTCTCGCATTGTTGAATTTTCATGCAATTTTCTCCATTGTAAGAACAATTCTAAGTGAACTTGGTTCAAAGTTTGAAGTACTCATTGTGTATAAGATTACTTGTGAGTGAGGCATACACACATGCTTGCAGTCCTTTTGCACTGTTGAATTTTTAAGTAATGTGACGGAAAGTGTATAGGACTAGAGCTAGTCTAACTTT